CCTCAAAGATCTGATCTTTGTTTATTTGGCTTCCTTTTTCCAGTTATTTTAGTTGAAATTCTTGGAATTATTCTGCGATTTTTTTCTCAAATTAATCGTTGGGTGATTTCTGGAATTAGTGCATTCAGCTTTACAAAGTGTGATTATTGCTTTATGTGAGTTCAAGATTCTTTTTTTCCTTTCTGTTTTTTTTCTAGAGTCGAATTTATGGAAGGCTCTGGGGTCCAGTTAGGCGTCTTGAATATTTACAGCCTCTTGCTAATCCCGGATCCAACTATCCAGGTTAGATTAAACAAAATTGATTTCTGCCTCCAGGAGGAAATAGGAACCTTTGATTTTTCTACTTTTTTACTTAAAAAATACTCCGGGTAATAATTTTTCCACCATTTTTGCTCCAAATTTGTGGTCTTCTACTTTTATTTACACACAGCTCCTGAAGTGGAAACAAGTGGGTTTATCTTCGTCAGGATACGAGGTGGTTTCCATGAGATTAGGAATTCGGTAAGGGTGTTTTTTGTACATAATCCAATATCCTCTTTTTTCTTAATCTAAAAGGTTTTTTGTATGAAAATAACAGATATGTGATGTTGTTGCTGTTGCGCGGCTTCTCAATGCTACGCTAGTCATTCCGGAGATTCAGTCAACCACAAGCAGCAAGGGAATCAGGTAAGCAGTAAGCTGTAACCACTGTTTATGTGAGCCTGCCGTACTTCAAAAAGTGAAGCGGTTAATGGAGGCACCTAAGTTATTTTCTTCACACTAGCAGTGTTTTGATTCCTTTTTTTTGGAATATGCAGTTCAGAATTCAAGAGCTTTGCGTACTTGTACAATGAGGATCAGTTCATGGCAGCATTGGCAAAAGATGTGAAGATTGTGAAAACACTTCCGAAGAATCTTAAAGGAGCAAGGAGAAAGAAAGAGATCCCTTCATTTAGAGTGGCCCACTCGGCATCGCCACATTTTTACCTACATCATGTTCTACCTGTTTTGACACATCACTCAGTTGTTGAGCTTATTGTTTCTGATGGTGGATGTTTGCAGGTGAACTTTCAAAAACTCTTTTTGGCAATCAGCTCTTAGCTGTTTGTATGAACTCTCACAAGGATAAATTATGTTATCACATGAGTAAAATGACTAAAATCCACCCTTTGCTACATTTCCTGATTACCCTCCTTGTTCCTTAAAGTAATGAATATTCATGTTATGATGCTAGGGGTAATTTCACGGGATGTGCAATCTATGTGATAGCATGTGGTGCCCCTCTAGATTGACTCACTAATTCTGCACTTTTTGAAATAAATCTAAGAGTTTAGTTAAAATGTGATTTTTAAGAAATAGCCTACAAATAGTTTGGGAGTTGGGTCGGGGTCATGTTTCTAATCACATATCCCATTAATTTTTATCTATTTATTCATTTATTTATTTACTCATTGTCCCTTTATGTCCATTTCCAAGGAGTTAAAAGATTCTTTTTTTTACAAATCTTTTAGCTTCAAGTGAATAATGGACCAAATCAAAGCGACACTGTAAACTTCCCTTGCTTCCTACTTCCAATGAAGTTTTGAGCAGTAAATGTAGCAATGCATCAATGGTCTAACAAAAACAGACTCTATTTTTACACGAGTAAGGCAACGTAAATCTTGACCCCCAGACCCCAATGGAGTTGGGATTATATTGGGTTGTTGTACTCATTTTCCCTCCACTTTTTTTCATTGGCAGAACTTTTTTTGCAACGGGTTGTGAACACCACCAAAGACTTCACATCTAAAATCTAAATAGTTTAGGATAGAGAATGTCATATGCAGATTTGATGCCTAAATATATGTTTGTTTTTGTGTTGCCGGGTATGACATAGTCCACATTGCCACCACCACTTATGGAATACCAAAAGCTGAGATGTAGGGTTGCTTTTCATGCCCTAAGATTCAGAGAAGAAGTTCAAGAACTTGCTGTTAAAATTTTGAACAGGTAATCTCTGCTGATGGGTATTTGTCAATTTGTCATATTTCTTGTGGACCTTAACGTTATACTGCGTTTGGCTTAATTCTCAAATAACATTTCAGATTAAGAGCTTCAGGGAGGCCATTTTTAGCATATGATCCGGGGATGACAAGAGATGCCTTGGCATATTACGGTTGTGCAGAGCTTTTTCAGGATGTGCATACCGAGCTTATCTTGCACCGAAGATCGTGGATGATCAAACACAGAATAGTGAAGGGAAATCTATCTGTGGATTCTGCCAAACAGCGCCTTAATGGCTTGTGTCCTCTTATGCCAGAAGAGGTAGAATACGTCTTAATGGATTCCCTTATCTTCTATTAAGTTATCTTTGTTATTTGGGTGTTTGGGCATTACTAAATTGAGATCCTTGTTGCTATTTCCTAGTCGTCTAAGGCCTCGTTTGGATGTTTTTGGTGATTGTATTGAAATTACTGGACACACGCTGGCAGTCTTCTCACATGCACATGTGAGAGGGGTGTGGCAAGGTGCTCCGGAACATAATATAGAAATGCATTATATAACTAAAATTTTAGCTATTTTCTAATCTAACACTAACAAATAGAGATCAGATTAACAAAAAGTAAATCAATCGTCGCCTTCCCCTTTAAAATTCCCAACAAAATATGCATTTTTGGAAGAATATATTTCATCATAGAAATCATGGGACATGGTTCTTCTACTTTCACAGGTAGGAATTCTTCTGCGAGCATATGGCTATAAACCTGACACTGTCATTTACATATCCGGTGGGGAAATCTTTGGCGGGCGTAAGAAATTAGTTCCTCTCCATGCTATGTTTGAGAACGTCGTTGACAGAACGTCCTTAAGCACTCCATGGGAGCTGAGTAAAATGTACGGGCGCGAGACTACCATCATTGACAAATACCCAAAATACCCTTTGACAAAAGAGGAAAGAAAATTTCAAGACTGGAAAACCTTGGGCCCACGCCCCCGCCCTCTGCCCCCTCCCCCGGCACGGCCCAAATACACATATAACATTGAAGGGTGGTGGGGATGGGTGGCTGAGAGTGATTACGAGCCAGAGAGCAGTGTTGAGGAGTTGAGGACTAATGCGCACAAGTTGCTGTGGGAGGCCGTGGACTACATTGTTTGTCTTGAAGCTGATGCTTTCATTGCTGGGTTTGATAGGGATGGTAAAGGACACCCTAATTTTGCTAGTCTTGTAATGGGACATAGGCTTTATCACTTTGCTCCTTCAAGAACATACAGACCAAACAGGTACTCCCTCCATACATGGAAAACAATTTGTGGTCCTTCATATTTGAGAACTATTCCATAATCAGTCCTTTGTGAACTATACATGGAAAACAATATTTGGGTCAAAGGGCTGATTATGGAATGATTTTGATATATAGAGGACCACAAACGTAATATCTTAGAATTGGGTATTATGTCTATGGAACTTACTCTTAATTATTGTTGTCATCTGCAGAAAAGAAACTGTGAAGCTTTTTGAAGAGATTCGCGATAATTTATATCAGGCCAACCGTACTTGGATCAGATCTCTGCGTAAGAGCCTGAGGAGAAATTTGGTCGATGGCTTTCTGGGGGAATCAAAGAGAACCAAATTGCTCTCCCTTGTTGCTTTTCCTGTCTCTGAATGTTTTTGCACGAGCCGTGCTCCCACTGAAACATCTGATTCTCTTGGAGTTCTTCCTCACTGCCCTCCATGGATGAATGCTCACAATGCCATGTCTCAAACGAAAGATGAAAATGATGAAGATGCCGATGAAGAGGATGACTTGTCTTCTGGATTGTTCTTCAGGCAAAGCAATGGCAGTAACCGTGAAGTTGACAGCGGAGAGATGAACAACAAGGAAGAAACTCTAGTGGAAGATCAAGAAGAGCTCGATGGGGGAGAAAGATGAGTAAGAATGCTCCCTCCGTTCGTATAACAAGACATTCTAGGTAAATTGGAAAAATGAATGAATATAGACATAAAGCATGTCTACATTCATTCATTTTTCAATGTATCAAGAAAGTTTTCCATTTCTCAGTCTCTCTACTTTGTAGTAGGGGTAAGGTCTGCCTACACAAACCCTACCCAGACCCTACTTTTGCGTGTGATTTGACTGGGTTGGTTGAACGAGATTTCCATTTGTGGAAGATGATGGCTGTGGATTCAAAGATGATCCTGAGAATGGTAACTCTGACTCCTGAGATGATGACTGTGTGTTAAATTTATGAAGATTCATTCAATCACGCCGAAGAAAACGATGGATATACAGATGAACAGATGAAACACATTGGCTGAAGGAGAATTGACAGCATAGTTTTTTTTTTGTTGATAAACTATTCAATTGTAGCTATATTGGAACGATCATATTATTGTCTCTTCTAAAAACCTTGAATTCCAAGTTCTCAATGTACTATTTTCTTCTTTTCTGCCTCTCAAGAATGAATGATTCCTTTCTTATTTCAAATCTCTGCAAATATTTTTATTCTAGACTTTAGAGCCCATATTTTTTTTTTAATATTTCAGGTAATATGGAGCAAGTATTTTAGGTATGATTCGGTCCACACCAATTGTTTTCGGTCCAATTTGGTCCATGACCGAACTTTGTTAGATCCAGTCTTCGGTCCTAATTTTTTTATTTCGGTCCAAACAATTTCAAGATTTGTACACATACGGATTATATTTTTAAAATAATGTATTATTATATCATCATTGCGACATTGTCCACAATTCAAGTAAAATAAATCTTGTAGCATAGCTTGCCAAGAATTCACAACTAAAGCATGGATTTATGTGTCACATAACAAACGTTTCATGGCGCTCTCCATCTCAAATTAGTTTTCCAATTCTGATTTTACAAACACAAAAAAAAGGTTAAAAAAGAGATATTTCAAACCACATATATTTTTCTAAAAATAGATAAAATAAACAAAATACATGACAAATGGAAAAGGAAATAAAAAGACACTTTTGTGGGGACTAAGGAAGTCATATAATCATGATAAGTGGCCATAACCGTTACACAGCTCATTTTTGGAACTTGGAAGCTTCACCAAATAAGGCAAAAGGAGCAAACCAACTTCATATATGCAAGTGTGCATGTATATCATATATATTCCCAATCTATCATCTCCCCCATATACATATTAGTTCTCATCATGTAATGGAGAAGTTAAGAATGATGTTTTGTATTACCCTACTCTTTGCTTACTGTTATCAATTATTTGTCGTCGTCGTCTTGTCGCTAGACGAACCTTCTCTGGCACCGGCACTGTATGTAATGGGGGATTCGTTGCTCGACAGCGGGAACAATAATCTCTTGCCGACGTTTGCCAGAGCAAACTTCTTGCCCTACGGCACAAATTTTGCGACGGGAGCCACCGGAAGGTTCACGAATGGAAGAACCGCAGCCGACTTCATTGCCGAGTTTCTCGGTTTGCCGTTTCCTCCTCCCTACTTGAGTCGTTGGCTAGGAGGATCGACACCGGTCACAGGGATGAATTATGCATCTGGGTCATGTGGTATTTTGCGCGAAACCGGGAGTGATCTCGTGAGTAATAATAAGGGAGAACAGAGAAGTACTTGAATATGAGTGGAATATGAAGAAAATACTAAAATAGTAGTGCTCTTTTTTGAGACCTAACTATGATTTCACATTCCCACTCTCACACTGCCACCAGAGCACCGTCGTGGTTCGCCAAAGCCCCACTGCCGGTCGCTGGGTGGTCCACCACCACCACACTCTAGGATCACACTGTCATTATTTACACTGCTATATCATCATCACATTGTCATCATTCGCAGTGCCAAACTCTTATTAAGAGGATAAAAACAACGCACTCCTATTTTGGTGTTTTATCGCAATTTACTCATATTGGGACATTTCTTATAATATAAGACCCATTTTCTCCTGCTTTTTTTTTGCATCCCATCTCGAATAACCCGAGTTACGAAAAATACAACCAAGAGAACACGAGCAAAATGACCACTAGGGGTTGTTTGTTTTGGTTAATAAGTTTTGCATTATTCCACACAATTGCAGGGGAAGTGTCTGAGTATAGCAGAGCAAGTAAACATGTTCAACCAAACAGTGGAGATGGAACTGTCAAGGCACTACAAGAGCTCAGAAGAGCTTTCAGATTACCTGTCAAAATCCATTTTTCTCATTGCTATAGGCAACAATGACTACATCAACAATTACCTCCTTCCCAGTGTCTACAACACCAGTAGAACTCACTCACCTGCTTCCTTTGCTGAACTTCTCGTCAATGCACTCATCGTTCAAATCCAGGTAATTAAACAACCCTTACTGACCCTGCTTTGTCCCTCTTTAAACCACATCCAAACAAAGCCCAAGTGTCCTTTCTGATTCACTTAGATTGGGATGAAAGGCTTGATTTGAGTTATTAACCTTGTGCAGAGGTTATATGAAATAGGAGCTAGAAAAATTGTGGTATTTGAGATAGGGCCAATCGGTTGCCTTCCATTCTTTAAGCACAGAAACGAGACATGTGTTGAGGAGTACAACCAGCTTGTTGTTCTGTTCAATCAGCAGCTCGGAGACGCGCTGAGAAACTTGAGCACAGCCCTAAGGGAGTCCCAATTTGTACTCGGCCATGGTTACTCTCTTGGCTATGACACCTTCAAATCCCCATCTACATATGGTATGTGTGTGTGTGTGTGTGTATTATACTATTATGTGAATGAATTTGTTTCCAAAAATGGGCAACTTCTTGTTTTTGTTTTTGTGTTTATCTTTATTATCATCTGATTCAACCAGCACAGTTATCTAAGTTGGTGATTGGTAAATGAACTCACATGATTAACATAAAACTATGTTACTAAAGAAATACTGAATAGTAGTGTTGAAACTTGAAACTTGCAATTAGATTAGAGCAGATACTATTTTAATTTGATACTTTGACAAAAGTTGACAAGTAAAATGGATCAGATGGTGTGTGTGTGTGTGTCTTGTAGTTTTCTTTTAATATTTAAATTTGATACTAGTGAATCTGAATGTATAGGTTTGACAGATCCAAACAACCCTTGCTGTGTTACATGGAGGGAGGGGACTTCAGTATGCATACCAGAAATGAAACCATGTGTTGATGCGGACAAACACTATTTCTGGGATGGGTATCATGCTACTGAAGCTTTCTATAGGACTGTTGCGACCCTGTGTGTCAATGGTACCTCTGTTTGCCTTCCAAAGAACATAAAAGACCTTGTTCGTGCTTGAAATCACTCTCCTGTAATCTGTTTTTGGGCAAAAGGCCAAAAGCTCTTGTATGTAGTGTGTGTACACATATTGGTCAACTCATGGGATCTGTTTCCCTCCCAGAAGATCTCCCTCATTCATCTCTCACTTCCTCTTGGATGAGTTGTAGAGATCTACTGGGATGGAAATGGGAGAGAGAAAGTAACAGGAAAAGGTGCATAAAGAATGCATGATAGTGTATGGAGTTCTAGACGAGAAATACTAGATAGCAAGTTGAAGGAGAAAAATGTATTTTGGTTGTTAAAAATTTGAAACAGACCAGCAACCATGTATGGAGTAAAAACTAATTACATAAAAATTTCATAAGATGAAGAAGAAAATTGTCTCACAATTATGCTACACATGTGATCGGCTGATCGCCCTCATGCCCAACTGGGTATTCCAAGAACAAAGCAGGAAAAAATGAAGTACCCCAAACCTAAAAATAGAAAACCATCAAATTGAACTAATCTTTAGGCTCCATGCAAGAAGAGTTCCCTTGGGTTTGATGTAAGAGAGCAAATTGGACTTAAACTGGCTGGTTGAAGTTGACATTTTCATGAAATTTACTTGGGAGAAATGGCAAGAAGCTACTGGTCTATGCTCTCCCAATTGAATGTGGATATGTAAACTGGCTGTTGGATTAATAGATTGATGCATCAAATCTTGGTTCATAGAAACAAACTTGGCTATTGTATGACTTCAAAGCACACCCGGCAATCCAAGACCATGATTTCTTATCAACGTCATAAAGAAGGCCTTTTCCTTGGTTCCAAGATGTGAAGCAGATCAGATTATCCTGTCCAAAGCATTCAAACCTTTCTGCTGACAATCTCAAAAGAGCTCGAAAGTACCTCGGTGGCATCCTACTTATCTCTGCCCAAATAAATTTTCCATGGTCCAACTCCCAAATCCTCATACTTTGAAGGGTACTGTAAAGACCTATTCTTCCAACCAGGAACAGACGCTTATGGGTCCCAGCAACGAGATAACCGTCCAATAAAGAACGTGGGAACCTTGCTGGTATGTGTTCCCACCGTTCAGTGTCCAGCCTATACATCATCAAACCAAGTGGAGAGAGAGTTTCCATATACAGTCTCGAATCACAATATGCCATTTTAGAGGAGCAAATATTCGCAGCAGGCATTGTCTGGTGAATTGACCACTTGTCAAGAACTGAGTCATATACTTCAGTAGGCAAAGACCTGTCACCATATATATCACTAGTGGCTATAACTTTAAATGACTTTTCCTTCTTATCACTGACCATGATCAGTTGCCTTTGTTGGTTGTAATGCATACTCGGCAACATCCTCCAAGTCTGAGTTAGGGGATTGCAAACTAAAATTTTGAACATCAATCCATCTAATCCAGAGAAACAAACCAGACCACCGGAAGAACCAACCAACCAGAACGCCCATTGTGGTAAAAATGTAAATGGTATCCGGAACCATTGTTTCAGAGGCAAGCTAAAGACAGAACACTGATGGGTCTGTGAATTCTTCCAAAATGTAAGGAGACAAGGCCCGTGAGGTGGCACTTGAGAATGGAACTTCAAAAAGCTATTATCTTGCAAAATGGAGTTCCACCTCTTGCAAACCGACCGGAGTCGAAAGATCATGAACGGGGGAACCCTGACAAGGATTTCATTCAACAAATCCTCCGGAAGCATTGCCCAAATATTATCTTCCATATGAATATCCGGCTGAATCGGCTTACCAAAAGTGGCCAAAGTGTCCTCATCCAATCCACGAGGCTTAGTCTTAATGACTTTCTGTTTAGAAGGACTGGTGTTTCTCGAACCAACCCGTCCTAGCGGGCTTGTATTCCTCAATCCACCACCCCGAAAGTTAGTCACTTGCCTTTGAAAGTTATCCTCTTCGTGTAAAGATCCCCTTTCTACCAATCTAGTGCTAAACAATCCAGTTCCGGAATCAGAAGACTCTGCTATTTCAACCATCTTCACCCAAAAAAAAAGTCTAACACCACATACCAACCAATCTAATTCACTTCAACTCCTCTACTGCTTCAAAATGCTAGACTCTGGCATTTCCCACACAAATAAACTACCCAATCTAATCTTTTCTGTCAAGAACACAATGCTCTAATTCCAAATCACTGATCGCAATAGGCAAACGTTATACGGCAAGCAAAGCAATGATCGGTCAGATGGAACATCACAGCTTGATTGTTGAGTTGATATACAGCCAATGTAGTGTACTTCTCAGATCCGAATCCGCGAAGAAACAGTGAGCGGAAGTTTATGGTTACAGCAAGGAGAGGGGTTACCTAAAAGAGCGATGGGTGAACAATCTCAATCCGATTGTGGGAGGGAGCTTGGAGAATGAGAGTGTCGGAGAATCAAGCCCTAACCTGAGATTACGGTCAATCTCTCTTGATGAAGCATGCCGGCACCATTTGCGCGTCTTGATTGGTTTTCTTGTCAGATCTTCTCTATCATTAATGGAATTAACTAGTGCTTGTCCCCAAGTGGTTAGTGGTGCCCCAATCTCATTCATTACTTTAATGCTTCCCCTTTTTTAAAATTCATTTGGATATGTACCCATTATTTCTTTTTAAAATTAAATTTTGCATTTATTTTTTACACAAGTTTTTAAAAAATAAGTAAAATTATGTAATTGAAAGTTAAAACTTACAAATGTGTAAAAGTAGGTGGACTATAATGATTTTAGGATAAATGTAGATGAGCGGATGGACTTGGTAGTTTGACGAAGGTAACCTGAATCATCAATTTGAGTTGAGAATGTAATTTGACCGGATACAGATAGTTGTCCAATGGAGGTGGCCCATAACGACATAAAGTGTACGAACCCAGAGACCTATAACTGACCCGCAAAGTTAGGGATTCCACATGATCAACGACGTAGGCACTGAGTTGACCGGATGAATCAAGCCCCTGGGAAATGATTCTGAGTCCTAAATTATGTTTGAGAAATTAGTCTTAGTAGAAGAAGACTACAAGCTTATGAGTTATTTGTGAAATATGACAAAGAAGCAAGTCGTGTTTTATATTGCGGACGAAATGTGCCTATCAACATGCATATGCATTGGTACATGTATGGTTGTATTTAATTGTGTTTTCAAATATTAAAGCATCACTCAACTTTATTTCACACCGTATAGTTTGTTTTAATGCCACACACAAGTAAGAATGGAAACGGAGCTAGTACCAATACAAAAGATCAATTAGAAGGATGATCGAGATATATGCACATGAATACATGATATTTTTTTACAATCAAAGGAAAGCATTGAATTAATTAGGAAATAAAGTCCGGATGAGAGAACCATTCTCCCCTGCTTTGGGTCAATGAGAAGCACGAGCAAGATCTCATTGGCAGAGCGAAATACAAAACGAAAAGAGAAAGCTTCTTCACAAAAAAGCAATGAACAATTTCCAATCATCGATAACGAAGAAGAAAAATAAGACCAATCTGTAATTAAATTGTTAAAAGTATTGTAACTTCCTTGTAATCCGTCTCAATAATTACTTGCTTCCATTCTACTCCGTATTTATTTAATTCAGCTAAGAGCTTCCTTTACTTGAGAAGTGAAGCTGACCGTATTTAGACAAGGCAACTAGCCGGAGTTATGGAAGTCAATGTGGATGCTTCCACGAGTTTGATAGATGATATGGTGGGCTTTAGTTTTCTAGTACGGGATGATGATGACTATTTCTTCATTTCCTGGGTGTCAAGAATTTGTCAATTAGGTCAAGAATTTGTCAATTAGAGGCTGTCATGGTCCGAGAGGCAGATACACTATCATTAAAGGAATACGTGATGGGTTTTATTTAAACAAATGAGTATTTTGATGACATTATCTTTTGGTCATAATTTTGTCAATCCTTAATTATTTAAGTTTATCCATTGTTTTACTTAAACTTCAAAGAAACTTTAAGTGTTTTTTGAGCATTGTAACTTTTAGTTTGAGTTTTGCATCAAGCGATTTTAAATTATTTGGGAAGTGTTTGAAAATATATATACATAGTATGTGGCTACCAACTTGGTAACGATACGGCCCGTTAGCCCATTTAGTCAAATTAGAGGAGTTGAGCTGTTACATAATTATCAATACAACAATCTGGATCAATTTCAAGAAAAGTTTTAAAGTTTGCTTTTTATAGAGTTTGTCATATCATGAAATAGATTTGAGTTTCTAGTTGAAGAAGAAGAGCGGTAGAGGTGGCGAGAATGCTTGTAATGATGGGTAAACAGGGGAGTAAATAAGGGGTCGAAGGGATCGGGTAGGCAGCAAATGAAGCGAGATAGAAAAATAAAAAAAATCTTTAAATGAAAAATATTTAATATTAGTACATAAATGGAAATTTATCACAATATGATTGTTGAAAATACAGAGCATAGTCTTTTTTCTGGATGAACAAAGAAATATAAAATCCATTTAATCGACGGTGATGCCAAATACCCCCTCCATTCCATAAAAAAACTTTTCATTTTGCCTATCATGATGTTTAATAAAAATGTCGAAAATGATAAACATATGGTTAGAATTAGTTAGAACAAGAGAAAATTTCTCAACCACACTTTTTTTACTTGATGTGAAAGTAGGAAAATTGCAAAATATTGATGTGGCATGGGTAAAAGTAAAACGAATGATCAAAGTGAAGATAATAAGAGAGTCAAAGAAATTGAAAAATTTAAGTATTGCGAAAAGCCATTCTTTTTTTCACAGCGCATATGGAAGATATATGATTCATCGATTTAAAATTTCTTTTTTGCTGTGCGGAAGGAGGATATATAAGACTTCTCCAAGAGTCTTGGGATTAGGGGGTGTTCGGATGTTTGTTTTGGGTCCCTACGATATCTCATTCGAAATATTTAGGTTCCTACTCTTCCAGTTTGAATTCCTTTCTAGAAATGACATCCATAAGCCTTCTATAAGACATGCTACGGTGAATCCTATCTATAATCCTATAATAAAGGGTTGCAAGCTAAGAAGTCATGCCGTTGGAGTTCTACCAGTTCCTCCTTTTCATCCCATCAAAGTCCAGAAAGAGATCCTTATTAGAAATGGCATCCATAAGCCGTCTATAAGACACGCTACGGTGAGTCCCATGGTTCTCCAAAGTTCTAACCCCGCCCCAACTCTAGCCTTCCTCCTAACTTCTCCAATTGGGCGCCTTAAGTCTAGTTGATTTTGGAGAATTTAAGTTCAAA